CTTTGTGGCAGCTTTTAGACCCTGCCATGGGAGGCTGTTGAAGAACCAATATATTGGTCAAAAGAATATTTGATACACGTGCATGTAGAAGGACCAAAGAGAAAAAAGGTTTAATCTAATAGAAAAGAACACGCACCTGCCTCTCAAGAAATAAAGTAGGACATATCCAAGAGATTCTAAATCATCCCGCCGGCTTTGCTCTGTATAACATACAAAAATGATTTAAATGTTAAGAGAGGTTCTGTTTTAATAACTTTCTTTCTCACAGGCAGGATAATGGTTACTTATTTTTCTTTCCAAATTCTTTCTGGGGGATATGATACAAGCAAGGAAAAGAATATCTGTGCTTACCAATTCCGAGATGAGTATTACAACTGGCATAACGTGCAGTTCCCGTTAAATTTTTGTTCTCTCTGCACAAAAGAGAAGATACTTAGATCTATAGTGCAGCATTTCAAAGAATGATCGAGGTTCTCTTTCGAACTTTTAACCAAATAAACTTACAATCAGGTATCAACACTCATGAGAGTACCTGGAAGCTTAAAGGTAAATGATAAATGATGAAATTAGTTCAGATTAGAAGATTCAAAAACTTAATACCTGTAAGGAATATGGCGATTTGTAGTCGCATCACGATATCTTTTAGCAAGACCAAAATCAATAACATAAACCTGAAATTTACACAATGAGAATAGCATTTAATCAGAACAAAAGAAAAAGAAACCCAACAATAAAACCAATAAAAAGAGGTGGAATGTAGAGTACCTGATTTGCTTTTCGACCAAGACCCATCAGAAAGTTGTCAGGCTTAATATCCCTGTGTAGAAAGCCTTTAGAGTGTACATATTCAATTCTGGTAATCTGATAATAGGAGAGGCACAAGAACCTGATTAGCCAAGCTGCTAAAAAGGAAAAGCCAGCAAGAAATTCAAACAATAAATTGCTTAATTTAACAAAAAAAAAGTTCAAACAATAAATTGAACATGTTGCAAAAGGCACCAATCTTTTTGTGCTGTTTAAAAAATATATCAAGATTTAATATTTCACCAATATCTATGTGACATGAAAATCATTGACACAAAAATCAGACAGATCAAACATAGACTTTGGTGCAGTTATGTTAGACTGTATCCCCAACAATTTTACTTAAAAAGAATTGCTGAGAGCCATAATGGATAAGAATATTGGGAAGGGGGGAGTCCAATAGGTAGAAATAGCAGCTATTGGCAGACAGGTTCTAATTGTACAGAAACATAGTAGTCACACAAATGTTATAAGAGTGTTGAGGGAAACTGTTGTTACCATCTGGTCAGCCAACATTAAAACAGTCTTCAATGAAAGCTTCCGGTCACAGTAGACAAAGAGATCTTCCAAACTAGGACCCAGCAAATCCATGACCAGAACGTTGTCATCACCATCCACACCAGACCATTTTATATGAGGTATCCCACCTAGAAAAGTACAGATAATAAATTACACATTATCAGTATTTCTGACCATAAAGTGCACAAAATATACATCAGCATCACCCAAAAAAAATCAGTAAAAAACATACTTCCTCCTTGGAGCATATTGTACAACTTGGCCTCGTACAGAAGTTGAGGATGTTTAGTCTTATTATTCTCCTGCAAAAAGTTTTTATTTTCGGGGGAAGGAGTCATGTTAGATCCCAGCAAAATGTGAATACAATAAGATTAAAAGCAAAAGTTACTAATAATGCAAATAACCAGTGGAATAAAGTGGAAAAAAAGAAGAAGAAGAAAAACACAGAAAACCGTGAAAATACTCCAAGATCATCCTACTATAACTGTAATCAAGGAAATCTGAGTCCGCGATTAATAAATTAAATGCTTTGGCTAGGAAAAATTAGTAAGATTACATTTTAAAAATAGTTAACAAACTCTAGTTATCATATATAGCAGACAGACTCCACAATAGCTGTCTTTAAGCTCTCTTTTTTTATAACAATGGTGTCAGGGCCAGACACTTCCACCGGGAACCTACTACCTCCCGCCAGCACATGTATTATGGTTCTCCTCCCACTTCACCGACCACCAGGCTACTTCTCCGGATGGTAAATAGCTGTCTTTAATCTCATATGCACATAATGAGGATTCCACAAAGGAAGTACAAAATTCCAATAATAATAAGACTTAACTAGTTTACCTTCGTGATACACACAGCACTTATCACATGAAAAGGAAACATAAAACAAAATCAACAAAATTCAAGGCCTTTAAGCAAATTAAAAATAAAAAAATAAAAACTCACAATTTTGGCGGCGACGATCTCAAACGAATCAATATGCGTAGCTGCAAAACAAATACAAATCCACACATAATTATCAAAAATCACATCAAATTTAAAAATATCCAAGCTCAATTAATAAAATAATGCTCAAAACATATAAATTACACTTACCGAGGAAAATTTCACCAAACGATCCACTACCGATTTTACGACCAAGCTTGAATTTACCTCCCACGATCCTTTCCATAGCTTAGATCGACGGCTCAGATTAGATCAGATCAGATTCTTCCAGATCATGAAAAACAAAAGGTGTTTTTTTGAAGATTCGGAGTAGTCGCAAATCGAAATACACAAATAAAAGAAGGATTTGTAATTGAAATTATCTCCGGAAAAACGAATAACGCCAGCGAAGAACGTGAGGATTTTCCGGTGAAAAAGACGGCGGAGTTTGGGGGGGGGGCGGGGGGGGGGGGGGGTAGGTATGAAGTGGTGAAGACTGACGAGGTGAGGGATTAGAGTATTTTTTTTTCGTGTATATGCGCTGTGATTACGTTACGGTTCACGAGCGCACAAATCAGGAAAGAGGATAAAGTTTCCACGTGGATCACCAAATTGTGGTTGATTTGACTTTCGTGGGACTGAATAATGTAGTTTAATTGGCCCATTTGAAATAATGGGCTGGACTTTGGTTAAGGATCTGGGCCTAGCCTGTGCAAATTTCTTTTTTTTTTTTGTGAATTCAACCATTCCTGTGGGGTTTTTGCATCTATACCCAGTTTTGAGTTCACAATTGAAGTTATACCTACTTTGCAAAAAAATTATAAGGCTACCCACTTTACGACCAATTTCAAACTTATCGAGTCTGAAGTTAAAAAATAAATTAGTTTGAAGTGCAATATATTTAAGGTCAATTAAGTCTAAATTGCAAAAATTACACTTAAGATGCACTTAAGGCCAAATAAGTCTGAAGTGCAATAAATATTTTCATGCACTTAAGGTTAAAGAGGTTTGAAATGAAAAATCTACACTTCAGATGCACTTAAGGTCAAATAGGTCTGAAGTGCAACAAATGATTTCATGCACTTAAGGCCAATAAAAATAAGCGCCACAACAGGTCGCCACTGTAAAATATCATAAACTACCTTAAGATATGTTCAAAAACACCATATAAAATCATTGTCACCCGAAGAAGAAGAAGAAGACCTCAAGTTGTTTAAACTCAAATACCTGCTCAATAAATGGTGTAGTGTAGAATGTGAGGGGCATGGATAAGCCCTTCAAACAAGGGGAAATGTGTAAATATCTTAAGAAATTTAATATTGTATTTGCTGGTTTGTTGGAAACTATGGTGAAGACATAACTTTGCTGGTAGTATTGCTAGAGTAGCAAAGGGATGGACATTTGCTAATAATTATGTTGAGGCAGATAATGGGAGAATCTGGATATTATGGCAGCAGAACCATATTAATGTCACTATCATAGAAACTAATGCTCAGTTCATCCATTGTCTTTTGGCGGATAGGTATTCTTTGTTTTCATGTTGATTCGTTGTGATATATGCTAGAAATACTATTGAAGAAAGGAAAGCACTATGGGTTGTTGGCACAAACATAACTAGACCTTGGTGCCTAGCAGGAGATTTTAATACTCCATTATGCTTGGATGATAGAATTGGAGGACAACTAGTGGCTGAGGCAGAAACTAGAGATTTCTAGCATACTATTGATTCTCTTAATCTGGTGGATATGAAAGCTACTGGTAGGTTCTTTACTTGGACTAATGGACATGTATGGAACAGAATTGATAGGGCTTTATGCAATAATGAGTGGACTTTGGGGTATGGTAACATTATAGCTCAATATAAAGAGAACCATTTCTCTGACTATTCACCCATACACAGAGAATTCATAACTAATAAGCCCCAAGGTAGGAAGCCCTTCAGATTTATCAATATATTAGTTGAACATGATAAGTTTCTACCAGAAGTAGCCTCAATATGTAGTCAGACTATTCATGGCAATAATAACTATTTTTTCTTTTGTATGAAGGCTAGGGCAAGTGTTAACAATGTAGCTGTACTGAAAGATGACAATGGAAACCTACTTCGACAACATAAGGATATTGAAAGAGCTTTCCTACAATTCTACATCAATCTCTTGGGTTCAGCTGCTGAGTCCATCCCTGGTGTGAATATGAATATCATGAGAAAGGGTACAAGCTTATCAATAACACAACAGCAAGATCTGACCAGAGAGATCATAGATACTGATATTAAAGACGCTCTATTCGAAATAGAGGATAACAAGGCCCCTGGAATAGATGGCTTTAATGCTTGTTTTTTCAAGACAACTTGGAATATCATATGGGGTGATATTTGTCTGGCAATACAAGAATACTTTAAGGGGAATAGGATGTTGAGGGCTATAAACGATAAAGTGATAACCTTGATCCCAAGAAAATCTCACTCTGAATCAGTGAGAGACTTCAAACCAATTGCATGTTGTTCCATATTGTATAAAATCATATCCAAGGTGATTACTAAGAGATTGAAAAATATGTTTGGTGTACTGGTAGGACCTAGTCAGCCAGCTTTTATCCCAAGGAGGTTGATAGCTGATAACATTATCTTAAGCCATGAGATGGTCAAGGCTTATACCATAAACTTGTCCCCTAGATGTATGATCAAGGTGGATTTACAAAAAACATATGATTCGGCAGAGTGGAACTTCATTAGAAACATACTTATGGAACTTGGATTTCCAGTATAATGATATCATGGATCATGACCTGTATTACTACAGTTAGCTATACATTCTTGATCAATGGACTTTTGACAGACACTATACAGGCTAAGAGGGGACTAAGACAAGGGGATCCTATGTCCCCTTATATATTTGTCCTCTTAATGGAATATTTGAACAGATGTTCGGCGACATTGGCAGAAAATCCTGATTTTAGTTTTCATCCTAGATGTGGAAAGCTGAAGATTACACACCTTTGCTTTACGGATGATCTCCTATTATTTGCTCAAGGAGATGTGCTTTCTGTTCAACTTCTTAGGAACAAATTTAATATCTTCTCAGCAGCTTCAGGATTAAAAGCTAACATGTCAAAAAAACAAGTATACTTCGGAGGGGTGGATGAAGCTAGCAAACAAGCTGTTCTGCATCTACTAGAATATGAGTTAGGAGAGCTCCCTTTCAAATATCTTGGTATACCGTTGTCTACCAAGAAGCTGACCATTGCCCAATGTAAGCCCTTGGTTGAGAAAATCACTGCAAGAATCACTACATGGATGTCTAGAAGTTTATCTTATGATGGTAGACTCCAGCTCCTAAGGGCGGTATTGTTTGGTGTTCAAGCTTATTGGAAACACCTATTCCTACTCTCTCAAAAGATAATTAAGCTTGTTGAGGCTATATGCAGAAGCTATATATGGACTAGTGAGGCTAGCATCTCTAAAAAGGCATTGGTAGCATGGGAAAAAATCTGCGTGCCTAGGAATGCAGGTGGCCTCAATGTATTGAATATGAGGCTCTGGAACCAAGATGCTCTATGTAAGCTATTTTGGGCACTTAGTCAAAATAAGGAAAAGTTGTGGATTGCTGGATCCACACGTATTATACAAAGAAACAGGATGTTAACCTAATGAAAAGCCCAAAAACTGCATCTTGGATGGTTCAGAAAATCTTTAATATAAGAAAGCACATGCCTGACATGAATGTTCATAGTCAGATTATTCATCAAGGCAAATTTCAAATTGCTGCTATAGTATATGATGTGTGGATAGAAAAAAAATGAAAGAGTGTTTTAGAACAATTGTAGGGACGCAGAGGCTCTAGTACACTCACTGAAGACTACTCTATGTATTAGAATTAGAAACAATAGAGTCTTATATGAGTATGTGAGTTCTTTGTAATAGAAATTGTGTCTAGAATGGGATGGTGTAGAGTAGACAATGGTAGGGATATTTTGTGCTATTTTTTAGAGTGGTAGGTCTGGAGTAATCTCCCCTGGCTTGTAATTCTCACAGGTAATTAATAAAATTTTCTAATTACCAAAAATAAAAATAAAAATTGGGTACTAGTTAAAAAAAATAAAAAGTGGGTACAGGTTAAATGGGGGCGACCAAATAGGGCGGCCGTATAGTTTTTAGGATTCTTGTGGAGGCCAATTAGTTTTGTGGCCCGTTGCAAAATTTGTTTAGTTTTATATGTTAAATCTCCGCATAGATTTTTATTTTTACTCGTAAAAAATTTCAATATAAAACACGAGAGATCTTTGTGTGGTCATTTTTAAATTTAAATTATAAAGCATTATATTGAATAATTTCCTTGATAGATAGGTAAGACAATGCCACCCCTCCCCCCTCCCTCCCTCC